ATTACCTAAAGAAAAAGTTGAGAAGGGGTGGGAAGTAGGGTGGAATGGAAATAAGAACCAGAAGTAGCAGTGGGATAACTGTTCTTACATGCAGGGGATTGCAATCATTGGGTGAAACAAAGTACATGATTTGTTGAATGGAAAACTGATTAACTTCTCTGTAAACTTTCACTCACTTCACAATAAAAAGTTGAAAAAAGAAGTGAATTTTGTAGCATGCAAAATATACCTAAAAAATTGTTTAAGGAAAGGACAGAAGATTGTATTCAGTAATCAAGATGCTTCTATCTAAAATTCCAGAGGTATTCTTAAACCAAGAGAGTCAATGGCTTAAGAATGAAAGTAAAAATCACAGAGATTAGCAAGTACAGGAATCTGAAGGGTAGTTTCTAAATGATGTGTATAGTATCCACTTATTAATTCAACAGATATTTAGTGACTGATTACTTTGTGCCAAGACACTATTCTAAGTATTGGGGATTGTTGTTGTTTAGTGCTGTCAAGTCGGTTCTAACCGGCAGTGACCCTGTATAGAGTTTCCGAGGAGCAGCTGGGAACTTGAACCACCGACCTTGCAGTATTTTTCTGTCTGCTTTTTTTTTTAATTGCCTAAGTATTGGGGATTAGGCAATAAAAAAAAACAAACCACAAAAAACAGCAGAAAAAAAACATTACGACTGTGTAACTTTACATGCTAGTATGATAATTTTACATGGAAATTTAAGAAAGAGAATACAAGTACATGCATATAGCTGTACATATTTGTATGAAAGACAAGACATATATGAAACTCTTAAAAGTGATTACCTCTTCTATTGCAAGAACAAGCAAGCTGTTTGCCAGGGAGCCATCAAGGCAAGTAATCAAGTCCCTTCAGGACAAACCCCACTCCACGACTGAAACTCAAAGGGAACACGAGCGGTACGTAAGCTCACTGGAGACCACGTTGGTCTACATTTGAGTGGAAGTGGGCAAAAGTCAGTAATGAAGATATGGGCTGTTTGACCACATTCCATAGACTCTTGTCAACCTCGAAATGAGAGAGAAGAAGAAGAACTGGTTGGTCTGAAGTTTGGGGAGACTTGAGCCCATGGACACTGACACAGCCATGAAGGGCTAGACCTGAGAGTGAAGTGTCCAGCTGATATGAAGTGTGGAGAGATGCACAAGAATGGCCAAACTTGCAGATAGTACCCATTTGACCTAGCTTCGAGAGCTTGAGGACCAGAGCTTGACTAGAGGAAGATAAAGAAATTTGATAAAGGAAGCAAGTGTAAATTGCTGTAATTTGATGAAATTGCTACTTATGGATGTAGTAGCTCAAAATACCAACAGAGAGGGAAGGAGTCTTCACATCAAGGATCAAGCTTATCCCCTCAATATACAGGGTTGATAGAGATGGGCAACTTAAAGACACTGGCTATCTAAATTGGGAGGTTGTTGTGGTGGTTATGTGCTGTGCATGGAGTTGATTCCAACTCATAGTGACCCTGCACAGGGTTTCTGAGGCTGTAAATCTTTACGGGAGCAGAAAGCCTCATCATTCTCCTGTGGAAGGGGGACTATAAAGCACCAAGTAGCTGGCTTCCAAGTTTTCAAGAGGGAATTTAGTTTCAGAAAGAGCAGGGGAAGGTATAATTGCCACTGATTAGTTTTTATCTTGTCTATGCGGATCTGGTAAAAGGGCATGGGGATAGGATTCTTTTGATTCAATATTGAGTAATTGTTATTATGCCTAATTGCAAAGGTCACATCACAACAGTCACAAGTTTTGTACCATAAAGGGGGGAGAAGTTAATTTTACATTCCAAGAACAAAGGACTCTAGGACCATCAAGGGAGACTAGCATGAGTAGAATGTGGGACCCTAACCAGAGAAGCAGAGATATGGGAGATGAAGGCAGAGGTGATGGCATGGGGGGATTGAGCAGATAAGGACTAGTCTCACGGAAATAGAAAGGCTATGTACTGGCAGCCAGGAGGCAGGCTTGCAGAATGTGACCCTTGTTTGTTTAAATGATTATATATTCCTGATTATTTTTGTGTACATCAAAACAACAACAACAACACAACAGAGGGAATAGAAGCAAATACTGTTAAATAATGATGCATAGAGGGGATTGTAATCATTGCAATGAAACAAAATACAATAGGATGAGTGCAAAACTGATGTTCTCCCATGTAAATGATCTCTCAATTCACAAAAGCTTAAAAAAAAAAAAAAAAAAGTGATTACTCCAGGGAAGAGAATCAAAAAGTAGGAGTAAAGTACAGCAGTTGTACTTTTACAATATTTTATATGTATGAGTTAATATGTACACAGTATTTGTAATACACCAGGCATTGTTCTAAGTAATTTACTATCAACACATTTTATTCTCAGAACAGTGGGCTCTAACATCAAACCTTTTTAAAGAATGAGAGCTAAGACACAGATTATAACTTGTTTAAATTTAACCAGCTATTAAGTAACAGAATCAGAATTTGAATGTACATGATCTGGTTTCAGTCTCTGGGTCCTTATCACTACACTATACATTGTTGTTGTTAAGTGCCATTGAGTCAGTTCCAACTCATAGTGACCATACACAGAATTTCCAAGGAGCAACTAGTGGATCTGAACCATAAACCTTGTGGTTCAAACTGACCTTGTGGTAAAGTGCTTATCCTATAGCGCCACACCAGGACTCCTATACACTATATATTAGTTAAGTATTATAACATCAATGATTCATGCAGTCACAAAAATGGAGACAAAATTTTCTTTCACAGTTTGCTGTGGGATTTTTTGTTTGCTTGTTTTTAAACCTTCTTTTGTGTTGGGTGAAAGTTTACAGAGTAAAATGGTTTTCCATTGAATAATTAATTCATACACTGACTACAATCAATAGTTAGTAGTCAGTAATTTGTTTTGTGACACTGACTACAATCCCACAATGTACTTCATCCCATGCTTACCATTTCCTACTTCATCCCATGCTTACCATTTCCATTCCTCCTCCTTACCTATCTCTTTCTGCCTTCTGACCTTTATTCCTGGGCAAATCCTTTCCTTTTGATCTAGTATGGTTGCTTGTTCACCTTATGAATGTTTATTGTTTGGTTTAAAGTTCGGTCACAGAGGTGAGTTCAGTTCCAGGCTTAAAGAGTTGTGTCCAAGGGCTGTACAATCTCAGGGGTTCCACTAGTCTCTATTAGACCAGTAAGCCAGGTCCTTTTATTATTGTTATTATTTTGAGCTTTGGTCTACATTTTTCTCCTACTTTACCTGGAATCTCCTATTGTGTTCCCTTCAAAGAGGTCAGCAATGGTAGTTGGGTACCATCTACTTCCTCTGGTCTCAGGATGTGGAGACTAGGGGTCACATAGGATGTAGAATATTGTCTTTGTGGATTATGATATGCCAATTGATCTTGAGATTATCGTCATGAGTCCCCAGGCCCAGTAATAGTCCGCTCTTTTCCTTAATAGCCTATATCACAATTATTAAGTCTACATTATGTTACTTGTTTACTGTGTCCCCTGCTAGGCTGTAAGTTCCCTGAGGGCAGGCACCATACAAATTTTGCTCACCACTGTTTACCTAACAACTTTCATGGTGTATCATATAAGTATTTTGTAGTTATTTATTTAAAAATCAGTACGTGAATATATCAATAAATCAGGTAACTTCTGGTAGACACTGTGATAAATTGACTATAATTTAATGCAAACTTATTGGGAAAAGTATGTAATTTCAACAGTGAAAAATGGATTATATTTATAGTTCAAGTAGAATACATGATTCCATCTTCTAGCATATTTTGTGGGTAAGAAAACAAATGAGGTTTAATCACCTACCAATGTGTGTGAAACAAGTAATAACCACAGCTTGTTATTTTGTACCCCATGAATATAAGAAAGTGTGAATAGAGGATAACTGGCACAAGAAAACATCACCTTCAATAAATGCACATTCTAGATTATTAATTTGGTGCCTTACATAATAAATAAGGTCAGGGCTTTAGACTATTGAGAAAACTAGTTCTCACTGATTAATCATATATTGGGATTAGGGCTGTTATTCAGTGAAGTACTCATGACTTGTTACTGTTGCTAAGTAACGTTGAGCCAGTTCTGACTCATAGTGACCCTGTATAGGGTGTCCAGTGTCCACAAACATTTGTATGTATCCCTGCTGCCAATAACTTGGGCTCTAAGAGGATTAAGAAAATGAGGTAGACAGTGAGACTAATTCAGAGGAAAAAAAAAAAAAAACTACCAAAAAATAAAACAAGCAAAAAGCTCAGGAAATAAAAGTTTCACTAACGTCTAATTCGTAGTAATGTACAATAAGCACTGGACTGCTAAACACAAAGCCAGCAATTCAAACCCACCAGCTGCTCCTGGAAACTCTATCTATATAGGATCATTATGAGTCGGAACCAACTTGGGCACTTAACAACAACAACATTTAATAAGGAATGAGCAGAATTCTGAGATCTCAGAAGCTCTTTCACTGTGGCCTTGTTTTAAAACTGAAGAATGAGTTTCTCTTAGTATTCAGCATCTGGGCTGGCCAGCAGAACATTAAGATCACATAAGGTAGCCCTCATCTCTCTTAGGCACTTCTGGTGTGGCACTGTGGATCAGCACTGGCCTGCGAACCACAGGTCAGCAGTTCAAACTGCTGCTTCCTTCGCAACCCCATACAGGGTTGCTATGAGTTGGAACTAACTCGATGGCACTTAAGAACAATATCTTTATCTACTCCCACAAACTCCCTAAACCTAAAAGGAAAGAAGCAGTTGGGGACATAAACCAAGATCCCACCACCTTAAAATATCCTTCCTAGAGCCCAAACCATAAGCATTGGCCTGCTCATGGGTCTTTCTATATACATATATGTACCTATGAATGTCTCTTTAATATAAGGATACAAATATTTAAGTCTTTTTTCTGTATTTTTTCTTTAATTACTAAAGAACTTAAGAGATAGCGATAGTTTCATTTCTCTTGTACCTTTTCACCATTGCAGGATTATAAAGATAGATCTTCATAAAGTGTCTTTCCTTCTCATGATAACCATAAAAAGGCCTGAAATACAAGAAAAAGATATTCCAAATTATTTTCATCATACAGAAGTAATGCAACTTATTGCCCTGATTAGACTCAACTGGCCTAATTCAATTTTATTTATATTTAATATTCTTTTTAAAAAGACCTTTCAATTAAACCTGCCATAAGGTAATATTGCAAAATGTTAAAATCCAATTATTTTGCTTAAAAGGCTTTTAAGAAACTACTTTAAAAAACCCAAAAACACTAGAGACAAAAAGTGCAGTAAACAACTTCAATTCACCAGGACTCCTAAAAAGTGGCCTTTTTCTCTTGACACTGAACATGTATGAGAGAAAAGAACATTTCCCACTCTTCTGCCATCCCAGACCCTGACCCCCTCCTTTTTTTTTTTTTTGCAGAACACTAAGTGTTTTTCATAAACAAAGGACTTTAATAACACATATCACTTTCATTATTCAGCTCTGTTGATTATTAATTTGCAGGTTCACAAAGCAGCAACATTGGATGGTATAGATATGACAGGAAGAAAGAAAAACAGGCGATTTTGAAAGCAGATTTTTGATGCTTACAAATTAAATGCGATCATTTGAGCTAGTTTTTAACTGTATCAATAAGAAGGAAAATGAGCAAGAAAAAGCTCAGCTAGAAAATTGAGAGGGAATGCCTTGTTGTTGTTATGTGCGTTTGAGTCGGTTCCGACCCATAGTGACTGTGTATAAGGTTTCCAAGGAGGGGCTGGTGAGCTTGAACTGCCAACCATGTGGTTCAAACCAACTTTGCAGTCCAGCGCATTAACCCACAGCGCCACACCAGGACTCCAGATGGACTGAGGTCATTAGCTAATTCCTTATAAGAGATTTTCTACAATCATGGTAGATGAATGACAAAGAATTTAAGAAATTAGCTAAATGTGTCATGGTCCTTATCTCTTAACACAGCCTGAATACATAGTTTAGAAAAACTGAAACTGTATTTTATACAAATTCCAATTTGGCAGGAAGATGCAATCTTGTCTATTAAAGGTGGTGGTGTTGTTAAGTGCCATCGAGTTGGGTTCTGACACATAGTGATCCTGTATATAGGGCTTCCAAGCAGCAACTGGTGAGCTTGAACCACCAACCTTGAGGTTCAAATTGACTTTGTAGTCTAGTGCATTACCCCACAGTGCCACACCAGGACTCCAGTAAGAACTATTAAAGTAGTAAAGGAATCAGAATGAATGGTAAGCAAAAAGGAGACCCAAGTAAGAAAAGTAAAAACAAACAAGTAAAATAGGGTAAAAAAGATAATAGGAACCTTTACTAAGTTTGAACAGCTCATCTCCTAGGTATACAGATCTGTCATTTAACTTCTCTTGAGAATACTCAGTGCCTTTAATAAATACCGAAAGGATCTCTAATGGCGTAGTGTGTTAAGCATTGGGCTACTAACTACAAGGTCAGAGGCTCAAACCCTCCACACACTCAGTGGAAGAAAGAGAAGGCTGTCTGCTCCCATAAAGATTTACAGTCTCAAAAACCCTAAGGAGCAGTTCTCCTTTGTTCCATAGGGTTACTATGAGTCAGATAAACTTGATGGCAGTGGGTCTGGTTGTTTTCTAAAGCTACAGAAAGATGGGTGACTAATTTATTCATTTCACTGGGCTGTTTGAAGATTCAACTTTGAAATAAGATTATGTATAGGAAAGGTCTTGCAAAACTTTACAGCAGGAAATCAATAAAAAAGATAAAGCTAATTATTATTTTAAACATAATTGCTGCTGTCACAGGATGGGTATAGACTTTAACCTCATCTATTTATTCAGCCAAATATTCTTGAGCCATGTTCCTAAGTACCCAGCACCATACAAGATTTACAGTGAAGTTCATAATGCTGAACATGGCAAACATGGAGCTGACAC